ATAGATAAACACTTCATATATAATAACATCCATACAGTATGTTTGCGCGTATGCACATGTGTACGTATGTATGTGTTTCTACATGAGAAGCCTTGCCAAGATATTCGCACACTCGTTGCCATGCACAGGCAAATATTTATGAGCTTGCTTTTTGTTTGGACTTAATTGTATTTTCTAGGCTTAAATATTTTATCATCAATGCCTACAATTATGAAGATTAATTGAAAGGCTTTGGGATGCATGCATGCGAAGAGCATTCATCTATCATCTTAAAGCAATGCAGAGCTAAGGCAAAGGGAAATAATTGAATGTATTTACACATACATAGATGCATAGTATGTACATTAGACCCTACCACTTTAGAAGCAAGCAAACAAAAATCGCCTTACACCCCCGGGTCTTAAAGTATTTTTGCGAAGCAATTTTGAAAATATACATATTTCTTTTTTGTGCCGAATCATTTTCCGCTGACACCAACATTCGGCAATAAAAAATGTTTAAAAAAGTTTTACTGAAATAATCAAGGAACTTCCGTAGCAAAAGTTGTATGATGTTAAGCGAGCTTTAATTTACTTACATTAGGGTGGTAGGAACTGTGATCTGATGCGTAAGTACTAGAACGGGGTACTTGAATTTTAAAATCCGCCACTAATGCCAAATATATGACGAAAAATTACAAAAGGCGACCCTTAAAAAAATCACCATTTCGTTGAAATCGAAATACTTCTTTAGCAAAAGTTTGCTGATTTTAAGCGAGATTTAATCTACTGAGATTATGGTGGACGTTAGGATGATATCAACTGAGCTCTTCAATGAACCTTCGAACAAAACAATTACCTCCTCGATACAAAAATATCGATATATCAATCTTTAAAATCCGTCTGTAAGTACAGAAAATAGCACGAACAATTATTTGTTTTTGTTATTTTTTTGGCCTTTATAACAATTATATTCAACAATTTATATTGAGCTCGAGGCCGTTTTAAATGAAAATTTTTATTGTGGAAAAGCAACAATAATTAGAAGAAATGGTAGAAGTGATAGCTATTTCTTTCAGTAGGATTCGAACCGACGATCCCACTGACTCAGCCAGTTGCCTATGCACCGTGCTAAGTACGCCTTGTAAATTATCGTTTGCTTTTTTCCACTATTTTCATTTTTGTTATGCCAACACAATCAAGCGCAGCTATTCAGCTGCAATTCACTTGATCATGTGGTTGTTGGTATTGTTGGTTTTTTGCTAATAATTCTATTTTTAGAATGTTTAACTTTTAGGTGTGCTCGTCCTTAAGTTATTTGTTTTTGTTATTTTTTTTTTGGCCTTTATAACAATTATATTCCACAATTTATATTGAGCTCGAGGCCGTCTGGTGGGAGCTGCCCACTGGTGGAAATCAAAGGGATGTAAATGTAAAAACACGATCCCCACCTTCGTCCAAAACAAATATAATTTTATTTTCGAAATCGTCTTGAAAAAACACTTTAAACTCAGAGGCGTGCGCCAAAGTTGTTTTTCTGGTACAAATTTATTATTTACAAGCTGTTACATATACATATGTATGTTAGGGATGTTCAAAAGTGCATATTAGAAGAGTAAAGCCTGAATTTCAGTGCTCTCACGCCCTAGTATTATTTTATTTAAAAAAAAATATACCCCCGTTTTTTTTAAACAAAAAATATTTAGAGGGCGCCCAAAGCACCGAAAGTTTCCTATTCACTTTAAAGGGTGAAAAAAATTTATAGAATCCTTGAAAATGAATATTTTTCCATTTTTTGATAGTAAAAATTTTTTAGGGGTGCCCCAGTGCATGTATTGGTTGGGCATATGAAATAGTGAGTAAGTATTAAAAAATGGTTAAATAAACAATTAGATATTATTACTTGTAGTCTACTGAAAAGAAACAGAATTAGCCGATTGAAAAATAAACAATTTGAATTCTATACCATTTCTAAAAAATATTTTTTTCACATATAAAATACATGGGAAACTTAGAGCGACCGTCTAAATATTTTTGGATTTCATAACGAAAACAAGGTATATTTTTTCGATATAAAACAGTACTATTGAGTGAGAGCATTAAAATTCCAAACTTTACTTTTGTTGAACCACCCTAATGTACATACATACATACATACATATGTAGTTACGTATATTACGTGAGGTAGTTGCTAAGATTACGTTGCTATGAAAATAATGAAAATGAAAATATTTCAATAAGGAAGCAAGAAGTAGCGTATACGCACTGCCGTACACTACGGTGACCATGCCGCCTAACGACTTGGCTTAATTATAGGCATTGAAATAAAACTACAACGCATTCGTCATACATGTACATATGTACATACATATGGTATATACAAACTCAGTGTGTCTTGAAGTTGGTTGGTTTTGCTGCCATACAGAATGTTGCTCTTTAAGATCTACTCAAAAATTGTTTTTACTAAGCTTGTACTGAAGCGCCCTTTATTATTCTTTCTCTAACCGTATCTTTACTTGCTTCAATGAATAAAATATATGCATGTGTATGTGCTCCTTCTTCCTTTATGCGACTTACAAGCTCCATTTGTTCTTGTTACTATTTTACTACGTCACTAATCCATGCATCAGTCACTCATTGCCCATACAGTATTGTATGTACATACATATATTCTCCCATAGCGGCATTCATTTTCTTTTATCTCACTGCCTGTTTTACCTTCCCAAGGCAATTGTTTTTCTCTCTGCTACCCATATTTTAAGCCTCACCTCCTTTACCTCATCCTCTCTGTCATGGCCGTACGTCTAGCACTTCCGGTAAATCCATTTTATTTATTGCTCAAGTCACTGTCGGCATTCATTAGGTCATTAGTTAAGCATCGTCTTTATGTGAGTAAAGTCTCCTTAAACCGCCTTATCGTATTTATGTTGCACTATGAAAGCATTGGCTGGCAGCGTGCAAGTCGCTCTGGTGATCGTCATGAAAACATTTTGGTTATCTTTTGTGTTAGCGTAAGCTGTGCCTCCCGTGCCGCAAGTTTGTATAAGTATATATGGACAGTATTATGAATGGATTTGTGATTGCAGCCTTGCATGTGTAGTTTATCATACGCTCTTTCAAAGCTACTAAATTGGTAGTACTTGATCTATTAGTGTTGTACTATTGTCCTATTTTACATACACATAAAGGCTAATTATGTATTAAACACGCATGCAATTAAGGCCACAAGTTAATCAAAATATCTGCTTTACTTAAAAGAAAAAATGTATTCAATCATATCAAATAAAAAAAAACACAATTATTTGCTTAAGGCTAATTTAAAATACTCAAATACAGTCTTATTCCAAAACCGACTCTGGCGCAAGTTATGACTTTCGTTTAAATTAATTGCTCTCGCCTGCTAGATCAGTCGATCCCATTTCTGGCCATCATTCTAACCTTTTAACCCTTCCTCGCTCCTGCATAAAATGAATTTGTCGAATTCGTGTCTTATTTACGGTTAAAAGTCGATACAATATTTATCTGGTTTAGTCGTAAATAAATACTTCTCGAAATCTTTTCGAAATGCCCATCCGTTTGCGCTTTTGGTCTTTTTTCATTAAGTACTCTCTTGAGGATACTTCCCTACCTACTTTTATTTCCTCCAATGAGATCATCTGCTGGTTATCGGGAATGTGTCTAACACTTTTCGTAGATGCAAAGACGTTTATGTAAATCCATTTACCCAAATGAAAAAAGATGATACAGATGTGCCCAGAAATTCAGCTGATTTCTCACTGATAGCTTGGTTTTTTTATTAGCGCATTTTTCGCAATTAACTGGCGCATTAAGAAATTTGCAGCATTTCTTATTACTTCACACTCCTACCCAACTATGCACTTGTCAAATGGTGCAGTGAAAAATGGATCTTAGATCAAAAAGTGAGCTTCAGCTTCAAATACAATTTCCAGTAAAACTTCTTAAGCTTCAGCTTACTTCATCAGAGCTAAAGTGAAGTCTGAACAGAGGCGGATCTTGGATTTTACTAGAGGAGGTTTTAATTTTATCACTTATTTGATTTAAAGACGGTTATAAAAAACTATCAAGAAGTATCTTTCCGAGCAGGCACAGATTTTTCGTTACAAAGCTACAATGACGAACTGACTACGATAACTCTTTGGAGCCAAATGGCGGTGGTGAGACCTATATCCTCTTACGAGACTTGGATGCCCTCTACAAAAACGTCAACACTTACATTTACAGACTTATATTCCTTTTTAGTTCAGGGTCTTTCAGCCGGAACTTATGGCTGGATTTGTCAAAGTCTACATTTCTGATTCAGTGTGAATGAAATCTTCGCCTTCATATCGAAATTTTCACTGACAGCCAGGCGACATATAAAACGATAAGTTGCCTTGAAACCAAAATTCACTGTATTATTTCAAAATTTTTTTGGAACAGTACTAACTAAAGACAGTCCTCATCTTATGAAACATTACCGATATACGTATGTAAGTAGTTGTAGCTTTATCTGGAACGATTTGTAAATCGAGCGATCGACCTAGAATTAATAACCATACAGGGTTGCATTGTTACCTGCTTAATGTCTGTGAGAGAAAGTCAAACTTGTTGGGCTTAATTCACAAAAAGTGAGTTCAAGCTCCGACTCGTTTTTCAGTACAAATTCTTGAGTTTGAGTTGACTTCGTTGGTGCAAAAATTGATCCTAAGCTTAATCTCACTTTTTATGCATGAGACCCATTATTTTCACTTACAAATCCACCCTTGAAATAGGCACTTAGATCTACTCGATGAGGCAAATATTTTTCTTTTCTATACTGACTCGGTTATGAGGGCTTTCATGAAAATGTAGTGCTTTAATATTAAAATTGTACTATTTAGAGTTAAGCATAATAATTATTTATCATATAAAAATTAAAAATTAGAACATAGTTTTAATGATTGCAAAAATAATTTACTCAAGAAACTTTTCATTTGTTATGCAATTTACTAACACCATCGTCTGCCTTCTTCTTTTCCACAGTACTTTCGCACACTCAATACCCGCGTATCGGTGGTGTACATAGAGACGTGGGGTAAGAACCAGGCCGTCATCGATGGCAGCAAAGACATCAGCAAAGCCATATCGAATTTCAATGACTACACATCGCGGAATCTCTTCCAGATCGAACGCGATACCACACAGCTGCTAACGTAAGTAAACAAACTATACAGAATACAAACAAAAAGATTTAGTTAAATAAATGTGATGACTAAATCACAAGCGTTAGCACTCACGCCAACGCGCAATGCATTAGGCAAATACACAAATAGCTAGACAAATAAAATTAATTGAAATGGACTTAGCAGAGCTGAATTGTATTGAATGGAATTGAATTCAATGGAATTGAGTGTAAAATCGTTACGCAGCAAATTTAATAACTCTATCGCTCTAACGCTCGACTGCGTATTAGCTTTTGGGTAACACTTGCCGCCGCTAATGCACACAGAAATGACAATTAAATTCACAAATGCATAATTAAGGCACAATCTGGGTATACCTATTGTAGCAGCAACAACAATAGCTGATTGCCTGCAGATAGAATGTCAGATATGTGCCTACACATTCATACCTACAGACACATGTATGTACATAAGGATATAAGGGGCATTCTTTTCGGACGGTAAAAGACAATTAAATTAAATAGAAATTGCTTCTGGTTCTAAAATGGCTAACAAAAAATATTTAGTGCGAATATTTATGAATTATTTTCACAGAAACTGTGTGTCGAACCAAAAAAGTACTTACATTATTTTTGAGGCAAAATTGTTCGTAAAATACAATGAACTTTTTTAACTTTTTTTAATTTTGATATTTAATATTTTTTGCCCGCAGTTTTTACTTTTGAAAAGTGTAAGAATTTTAGCCAGCAAATTGTCTCCCATCCAAAAAAGAATGCCCCATAAATATATATATTTTGTGGGCTTAGTGGCAGAGTGAAAATCAGCGCCAAATATTCCATACAGCCGTGTACTATGCTTTGTGCCGTGAGTGACTGCCTATTCGCGGGTATTTTATTTATGACCACCACCACCAACACCACATTGCTTTAACCGAATCTAGTACAATAACGCTTTTGAGTGCTCTTAGCCAGCGACGGATAGTCGCAATCGCACTTTACGCTGCCATTACTAAGCCTTTAATAGATCGTCTACTCGCATACTCACAGCTGTGGATTATATCGAGTGTAAAGTGCCGCCTTAGTGAGCTCAGTCGCAGTGAGCCTTTCTCGCGCATTTAATGACACTTATACCCAAAAGCGTAACTGTATACATAAATACGGGATTGGGGATGCAAAGGCGGTTTATGTCAGCTATTTGGTTAAGTTGCCACAAACTGATTTCATTCATTCACACGCTGCCCGGTGGGCATAAAGTTTTAATGCGCATTCCTGATTTTATTTGCTTAGCATATTTTGAAAGGATAATAAATTTTAATATTTAACAGCCGTTGCCCACAATTTTGTAGCATAGTTATCAGAAACAAAATTAAACTTGCATATAGAAATTTTCAACTAAGTATACATATGTATGTATATCTGTGGTATACAATAAAGGCAACCAGCTGTTGGTACAATGAACTGGCCGTTCAAATTTAAGCTCATTTCGCTGTTTAAATCCACGCAATAATATTTAAGGCAACACTCTGTATCGTTTCCACCAATTTTTCTGTTCATCCCTCCCCGCATTTGTCAACTACTACTTTAGGGCTCTTTAATAAATTACTCTGGGTTGGTTGTCAAATGAATTAAATTAACATTTAATTATGTCATACGCTTGTGAAGGTGTACAAACGCGCTGCTTTGTTGTTAGGCTGATCGAAATGGATAGCGCAAACTCATCACACAATTGGAATTGTAATTCACTACATTCATTTGTCTCATTTGCTACGTGCCGCATGCTCCGACATATTTTAGTTGTACGCGCGTTTGAATTGAGGCGCAGAGATTGATAATTATAATTGATAAGGCAGCGACTAGTTGTGGTATGCGAAATAAATAAATGTGTTTTTTTTTTGATGCGTGCAAGAAACAGACATGCCGGACTTTTCGATATGCAAACACAACTAGCATATTAAAAAAAACAAACGTTTGCATGTTTAGAGCAAATCCACTCAAGCATCGAAATATTCCATTGAGTTTCGAAAACAGCTAACGTGAAATACATGCGACTTAAGACCGTAATGCAGACATGTCTGCAAACCAAACTTGACAAGGGATGGCCGAAATTCGTTCCAAAATAAATCATCTTACCACACTGTCGGAAAAATCAACCAACACCAACACACCGTAATATATACTTAAAAATAGTAAATATCTAAAAAAAATAACATCCATAAAAGAAGTAATCGGAAGAACCTGCAAAGTCATTGCAACAAAATTCTTACTAAAAGAAAATGGGACAAAACTAATAAAAATTCTCTATGGTTGTGGTTCATATGTGGATCTTTTTATGTCGAGAAGGAAAAAACTAATAAAAAGATAACAACAGCGCAGCGCTTATCTGACATCGAACCCAGACCTACTGAATAGCAGTTTACAGCTTACCTAAATATACGACTACGAGGGTCATCATACCGATACAATGCTTTGTGATAATATGAAATACTTGTTATATGGAATTAAGAATTTTATTTAAAAATGTTTCCTTTTAACCGACTTAAAAATTGAGGAGGGTATCAATTTGTCGGAATATTTTTTTTATGTATGTTACCGCATAACTTAAGAACTCGTTAACCAATTTCTATACTTTTTTTCTTTAAGAAAGAGGGGGTCCCATACTAACTAAGTTTAGATCATAAAGAAATTAACAGCATTTTAAAATTTTTATATGAGAATTGAAGTCGGTTTTTTCCTAAAAAATTACTTGTTAAGTGATTCTTTTTATGCAAGCAAGTAGACTTTCTTTAAGAAATGTAATTTTTAAAATACGTATATTTTTATCAATATACTCTATAAGAATTTTCACATAAAGTCATTAAGAAATCTCTGTTGAATATCTTCAAATTTCTATGGGTCATATTTTTCTCTGTGTACATAGTTCCATGTTTTTTCATATATTTCTGGACGATTCTTAGTAATATTAGTTTTTGAATTACATATATCTCAGTTCGCTGAATTCATGTTAAATAGTAAAATCACCCAGATGGGGTACGGCCAGGGCCGTAGCAAGAATTTTTTTTGGGGGGTTTGGCAAATTTTTTTTTTTTAGTTTTAATTTTAGGTTAACATATTTTGATTAAAAGAAAAATACTGATAAAAATAAAATATTTCACACAAACAACAAAAATATAATCGATAATCGCATGAGGCGATTGCCTGAAAATTTTAAAATGCGCTTAGTAGCATTGTGCTACTATGATAGCACGGCTGAGTAATCATAGTGAACTTATGTACAGTAGTCGAACAAATTATAGACGCACCAAATTTTCACAAGTCTTAAAATATAATTTTTGCTATTTAATTTTGGTTGGTTTATCATAGTTCATTATTTAAAAACATCCGTATAAATACAAGTTTAAATCCACGTTTGGGTATTTGTCAAAATTTGGTGCAAATCGTATCCCAATTGTGTGAACACCCAAAATTGGTTTCTTTATCCCAATCACGAAAATTAATTTGTTGAAACATTTCAATAGTCTACAAAAAAAAAAATTGTACCACTTTTTTATCAATAGCCCAATATAAATCTGTACAAATGTACCAATCGAGTGACACTTAAAAATTGATGCAATTAAAAAAAAAATTCAAAAATATTTCATTAAAATTTCGAGTTTTTTAATTAGATTCTGAGTATGCAGTTTGTAGACCATTGAATACTAGTAGGATAAAGTACAAGTTTCAAATGGCAAAAAATTACGATTGATTTTTTAGAATTCTAAAAAAAACTTCGAAATTTGTACGAAAGTTTGTTGATTTTTTTTTTTGAATAAAAAAAAAAAAAACCAAAATTAAATAACAACAAAAATAATACGTTAAAACTTAACAAAAAGGGGTTCGGTCGGCTATAATGGATTGACCACTTTATGTATTTTTTTTTTAACTATTTAATTGGACATGCACATTGTACATAAAGCTAAGTACTGTTACTCACAAAATTGAGTGTACTGGCTCTTTTTTGTTAATATTCGCAATTCTGAAATATTTTTGTTAATTTTGTATTAAAATATGGTTTGTATTTTCGCAAATCCCATTTAAATTTAAGAATAAATCAGTGTACGAAAATTAAGAAAAATCTGCAAAGTTTCAACAAAATCTTTAATACGATTACAGCTACTACTGGACTAAATCCTGCAAAACTTGCAAATCTTACTGCTGCTGAAACGCATTTACTATTCCTTTGGCTATGTGTCACTACTGTTTCTCCTTTACAAAGTAGAATTGAACTCATATGGAAAACACACAAATTTATGCTAAATCAATCAAATTCGCCAAAGCCTTCCGCTTTAATAAAACCAATCATGCGTGTCTTTGTTAAAACCTACAAATTTCACCACACACCTGTCACCACAACAAAGTGATACATTTTCATCCTATCCTCATAATCTATCAACGTAGGTACATGCATTTTATTTGATTTTCGTGTTTGCTACCTTACATTCCTTTAGTTCCCGCCCTCATTCTACGAATTCACTCACATAATGGTCGGTCAGAGGTAATGCCGCTGAAATTGATGTTAGCGGTTGACAAGCAGGAGTGCAAATCAACATTGAGTCTGCTTGCCCGCATTCTAATTTTCACATTCACCTTATTTTCTGGCGCTTTTTCGCTTTTGTTTGCGTTTTGTAATGGTCTCACGCGCTTAGCTTAAGTGGCTGCTTTCAAGTTGGAGTGGGGGAGGTGTACGCGGCGCGTTGGCAGCGTGTCTTTTTGTTGGTTGCGTTAGGGAAACAAGCAAATTTCTTACTACCTTCCAGCCTCAATTCTTGACATTGAAATACAAGCACAATGCGGTCATTTGGTTGGTTACTACGGTTAGGAGGTAGAGAAGGACAAGAGAAAACTGTTATTTTTTTAGTTATTTCTTTTTGTTTTCTTTTTTGGTAGCTAAACACGTAACGTGGATGCCATTCAAATTTTTGTCTAGTGCTTTTTTGCATACTTTAGGAGTATGTGAGGAATTTTTTTATTTTTTTGTGAAACAAGTAGTTAAGT